ATATATATATATATATATATATATATATATATATATATATATATATATATATATATATATATATATATATATCAATTAGTAACAGAATAAAATGTATTGTTTTTGGTCCATTTTGACAGCTGTTTGGGGAATTATTTTATGAGGCCATACTCTTTCTATTTTGCTGTAGGCCTATACTGAAAGGCTAAATACGTTAAAGCCAATAATCACTATAGCCTGACAGATGAACAAATAAAATTAAAACCTTATGAATAAATAGTATATCTCGTAAGATACTGCATGATCCAAATTTAGTTTTATTTAATACATTTTTTAAGTTTTCATTACATTTTGGGCCTGAAATCCACACTAAATCCACCCTTCTGATGGGATCAGTTAAATCCAGGTTTTTTGGATCAAAGTGATCCAGATCCTACAAAAAAGGTCTGAAAACCCAAACTAAAGGTTTGATCCGGATCAAAACCAAGATTAGATTACATGATCTAATCCGATTATGTTTTTTCTTTTGAAAAACCCATTTTCAAGATTTGATCCAATCCCTTATCCAAAATCCTAGTGGATTACTTTTGAAAAACCGGGCCCTGCATATAGATTCTAGTGATCTTGAAGACACTGATTAGTTTGTTCAGGTGTGTTTGACTAGTGTTGGAACAAAACTCTCCTGGCACACCGGCCCTCGAGGATCAAGTTTGCCCATCCCTGATCTAGACCAAACACAATGTTGATTTATTACATTTTTTTTTTGTTTGCTTTCACACTGCCTTTTATGCAAATGAACTTGCGTTTGATTCAGTTGACACATCTATTTAACTATTTTCTAATATCTCACAGGGGACCAAAGTGATCAGAAGCTCGCCTTGCAAAACATAGGCAGCATGGTGAAACCTGGAGGGATCCTAATCATTGACCACCGCAACTATGATTACATCATTGAGACTGGCCAAGTGCCTCAAGGAAAGAATATTTACTATAAGGTACTATAAAACTCATTGGTAGTTTGTATTTCTGCTCACACAGAAACTTTCTTTGATGCACTTTTTGTCAACCTTTACGCTTAAAACAATTGAAATCGCATAAGACATGACACTTAAATCAATTTTACTAGAGAATTAAAAAAAGCTATCTATTGAATTGTGCAAAAATATCTTACAGATCTATGTAAATTGCAATATATGTTATAGCAGGGGTTTTTAACTTTTTAGAACCTTTTTAGTCCCCCTCATGCCCCAAGTTTATCTAATTTCACTCACACAACTTTTTTCTAGTGCTGTCAATCGATTAAAAAAAATTTAATAATTAAAAAAAGTTATCGCGATTAATCGCATTTAAAATACTGAAACTTGTAATTTTGGCTATTCAAATGTAAAATTAATGTAAACGCAAGACAAAAACTATTTAAATTTAAAATTTAATTGTTTATTAGAATTAAAATTCAAAATATAATTGTTTAATAGAATTTTTGTTCATTTGTTCACAGATTTCTTCATGTAAACAACATACCCACAATAAACCATCAAGATCCTGGCTTGACAGCCATATTTATTACAGAAATTAAAACACAGGCATGTTAATGACATGTAAATTTCAAAACAATCAATGCCAATAAAGAGAAAACATTGATTTCCATGTTGGATTCTAAGTGGACTGCAAAAAATGCCAAAATACAGGAATTGCAGATATTGAAAATGAAAAATTATAATAAAAAACTATAGAATACAAACTGTTGCACTCATTGTAAAGTTTTATTGCTGTGAGTTGAGAACATTAGTTATAGAGTAGAAACAATTTAGCTTAATCCTCCTTTACATTCATCCAGTTGCTAAGACTAGGGAGTATCACACAACGCGCTGCAGACGTTTTGGCCCCAACGGCCTTCCATACTGGAGCGACTCCCCTCAGATTCAACACGCATGATCACATTCATCAAATTTGCTTAAACTAAGCATCCTAAAGTATTACTGTATTTCACAAGGATTCTGACACAACAACGCGAAGCATACGCTTTCGTTGCGTTTAATGAGGAAACACGCTAAACTTGGAGGGCTCATGCTGAAAGGCAGAGTAATGCCCTGTCTTTGACAGCTCGCGACTTCACCAGAGACGTTCTGAGAACATTTACATAAGACACCAATACTCCGATTTTAATATGATTAAGATTATACTCTTATTAAAAGTCTACCGTGTAGCCTAAGCAGTGATTTTATTACCTTAAAGGAACACTGAGTCACGAAATGTGGAGGATTTTCTTTCTGTTCGCCATGCGGTATCAACTTACAACAGAAGTTGAAAGTTAAAAATGAAACACCCGAAATTGCATAAAACTCTGGAGAGTCTGGTGTTGCGACTAATTGTTTTATACTAAAATTTGCCTTCAAAAAGTGCTTCCTTGGTCTTATACACATTTCTTGCATGTTAAACACACGTCCACCACAACAGGAAGTAAAAAAAAAACCTGCATCTGCGTTAATTGCGTAAAAAAATTTTAACGCGTTAATTATTTAAAATTAATCGCATGTGTTAACGCACTAATTTTGACAGCGCTACTTTTTTCACATCAAGAAGGATAAACCACATCCAATAGGAGTAACTGTGGACGCAAGAGGAAGCTGTCTGAAAGGGATTGTATCCACCTTGTTTCCACCAAAACCTTTTATCAGGAGCTCCACAGGGTCAATGTACAAGGCTGGGCTGCCTTGTATACTTTTGGTCACTCATCCCATTGCCAAACATCATTTCCAGCAGTGCCAGCAGCAAAAATCTTGGGCTGCGGACAATGTGAAACATGTCTTGTTCTCCTTTCCCACATCTGTGAGTTACGGTGTGGAGAAAGCCCAAAGACGTGTACCACCCAGAGTGATGCATGCCCTGAGTGAAGCATGGGGTGGATCAGTGATGGCATTCTGGAGGACCATGTGCACCCAATAGTTCAATCATTGTATCCTAAAAGCTGTGTCATGCATCAGGATGATAATGCACCAATATACACAGCAAGACTGGTTTGATGCACATGAAAGTAAAGTTGAACATTTCCCACGGCCTCACCAGTCACCCAATCTAAATTTTATTGAGCCACTTTGCGAAATGCTGCCGCCTGTTTTATCATTAATCAAACGACGAGAAAATTCCTTGCTGCTCTTGACTGAAGGATTTTTGTAGCTGAAGTGTTTTTCTTAGGGTGAAGATGCTTACAGCACAGTTTGTTTCATATTTTTATTCTATTGTATTTATTTCTCTTTCCTTTGCAGGGTGGAAAATAACTGTGTATATACAGTTGAAGTCAGAATTATTAGCCCTCCTGAATATTAGCAACCCTTTTCCCCCAATTTCTGTTTAATGGAAAGAAGTTTTTTTTTAAAGTATTTCTGAACATAATAGTTTTGATATATCATGTGTAATTACTAATTAGTTTTATCTTTGCTATGATGACATTATATAACATTTTACTAGATGTTTTTCAAAATACAAGCTTTCAAATTAAAGTGACATTCAAAGGCTTAATTAGAGTAATTAGGCAAGTCATTGTATAACAGTAGTTTCTTCTGCAGACAGTCAAAAAATATATTGCTTAAGGGGGCTAATAATATTGACCTTACAATGGGTTCAAAATATTTAAACCTGCTTCTATTCTAGCTAAAATAAAACAAATAAGCCTTTCTCCAAAAGAAAAAAAAATATTAGAGGAAATACTGTTAAAATTCCTTGCTCTGTTTAACATAATTTGGGAAATAGTTATTTAAAAAAAACAAAATTCTCAGGAGCGCTAATAATTTTGACTTCAACTGATCGTTTTGAATAATCTTGATTACAATTATGACCAAAATAATCGTGATTATGATTTTTTCCAAAATCCAGCAGCCCTAATGGGAATTGCCTTAATTAATCTTGCTGCCCTATCCAGCTTACCTGATACAGTAAAATCTTTTAATTAGAATGATAAAAAGTATACATGTAAACTTGGATAATGGCTGAGCCTGTTTCTGGGAGCACAATATGTCAATTCATGGAGGATTCTCAAAAAATGGCACATCATCCTACAATCATCCTAGACTGTCAATAATTCTCCAGTGTATGCCTTGGCTTAACAGGGGCGCCACATGTTTAAAACTCCTGTGTTCTGGTATATTCTATTTTAATGAAGCTAAAATACTCTTATAAACAAGCCATTTTTATCAGTTCACAATTGAAAAAGAAACATCAGTCTGTTGTATCCTATGCGACTCATTCTTCAGGGGTTGTGTTTCAGAGTGACCTGAAACAGGACATCTCTACCTCAGTACTGTGGGTTAATAGCAAGCCTCACATGATCACACTGGACTACACACTGGTGCTGCCTCAACCAGAGGGAGCTCAGACTCCGCCTGACACAAGGTACTGTATTTTAATGGGGTCAGTTTTAGGGTGGGTGGTTAGTAGATATGCTATTTCTGTAGAATTTTAATTTATAATTTCTGACATTGTAAGCAGTAGCCCAGTCACAACAAGCTAGGCTATGTGGCCAATTAGAATGGAGTAAGCTTTATATTATATTATACGAGGAAGCCAAAATGCTTTCATGCACGTGATTTGAATGACGCGGGAGGCGATTTTTCTGCTGTTGCTATAAATGTTGTAACCTACAAGTTAAAAAAAAGTTATTAATTCGCAGGTCACGTGTGTTCCAAACCGTGAATTGTAATCCATACGGATCACGTCGCGATCTGTTACACCCCTAGTGTGCACTATCTTTATTACCTCAGCTGTGTTGTATTTTTTGCACTGTATGTTTATAGTGTTTTCGGACAAAATGTTGACACACTTTTATGTTTTTTTTCCTGCACATATATATATATATATATATATATATATATATATATATATATATATATATATATATATATACAAATATATTTGTTGTTAATTTATGTTGTTATTAAAGTTGCACTATTACATTTTTTTGTGTACATGTCCGTGGGGATTGCTGTTTTGTTTTACTGTGTACTGTTCTGTAAATGATTTAAATTACAAAACAAGACTACTTGACTTGAGTGTTATGGGTGCACAGCCAGTTTAGGATGGATACATTTGTGGAATTGCAGTGAATATGTTGTCCACCTCGAACTCAGAATCTGGACATTTTAGATGTTAAAAACAAAACACTACTATTTCACTAGAGTTTTTATTCATTTGTTTCTTTTTATTATGAAATAAGTGGTATGTTTATCACAAAATGATTATTAATTACATTCCTAAAAACGTTTTCTTTCTGTCTTCTAGTAAATTCCGCCTGTCATACTACCCCCATCGTGTGGAGAATTTTAAGGAGATATTAAAAGCAGCGTTTTGGGGAAAATGCGAGCACAATGTATATGCCGACTTCAAGCAATACACTGCAGGAGGAGAGCCACCCTGTTATTTCATCCATGTTGTTAAAAAGACAGCTTAATGCCACTTTAAATCTGCAATTTCATTTCATCTTAACATGGTCTTGTCTGTGTAAAGAAAATCTACTAAGGTAACACATCTACAGGTTTTTTATAAAACTTTGCCATATTGTTTTAAAAGTAAATATTGATTTTGTGATTTCACATTCACAGTTGTTTCCAATTTGAACTGGCCTACATGCTCTTCATTTTATTGATTTATTCATACTTTACTTCAATGATGTTTTATTTAATCTTTCATAGTATACATTCTTATTCTTGATGCTTGTTCTTTATTGAATGCTGTTTTAAAACCTGCACCAAAAAGTAAAGTAAATGTACTACTTTGTGTCTGTACTTCGTGTCTGTATTATATTTACATTTCTACATGAGTTGGCTTAAATGGAGCTTTAAACTTCTTAATGGTTGACACAGCACATCCCTAATATTTAGACTAAAGGCTTGTACAAATGAGGCTTTTCGTTTGCGTTTATCGTCAACGTTTTACGAGACGTTTTTCCGGGTTCAAACAAAGCGATTTTCACTGGCGTCGAGCAGAAGAATACGCAAAATTACTCCTTGACGTTAGATGGCGCTACACAACTTTAAGCTTCTAACATCTGCTTATAACACAAAAAGAGGAAGTTCACACGTTTGTTGTTAAAGTTACTGGTGACTCAAACAAGCATGGATGGTTCAATTAGCAGCTCTAGCTCTAGCGATGAAAAGATGATTATAGTCCAGTGCAATAAGCATATTGCCTTCAAAACATTCATATCGCCTCTGGGCATCTTCTTCAATGTGCACTCGCATTCACAGTTATGCGCTTGAGCGCCTCCAAGTGCTGTTTACTTTAACTTTAGCAGCTCCGTGCACATGAACAAAAGTGCTGATCTGATTGGTCGGGAAGGTTTTGACGTGACGCATCAAAACAAAAAAGCGAGCAGGAGGCGTTTCATTAAAAATGACGCTTTTACGCCTGCCGTTTTGCACGTTGGTGTGCACAATCACATTTGCGCCTTTTATTTAGTCACGAGGTGTTAAACGTCGAAGGGATACGTGAGCAAAAACTGTCTCGGTGTACATGGGTCTTTACTTATCTACTTCTATAACATGTTGGAATATCATGCCAACTCCATGGGTTTTCAATAAGAAAAGGTCTGGAGAGGGTTTTCTTCAATGCCAAAAATATTAGTAATTTATTAAATGCAAATGAATAATTTGATGACAGAGCTCTGGATTATATTATCCCAATGCAATACAAGAATTACATTCAAGAGGTTCACATACATTTCCCTGACTCCAGCATATATATATATATATATATATATATATATATATATATATATATATATATATATATATATATATATA